TCCCCCTATAACTCGCCCAATCTACACATCCCTCAACACCATGGGCAATCTTCCATGGCCAATCCACCTAGCCTGCACATTTTTGGACTGTGGGAGGAAACCGGAGCACCCGGAGGAAACCCACGCAGACACAGGGAGAATGTACAAACTCCACACAGACAGTTGCCCAAGGGTGGAAATCGAACCTGGGTCCCTGGCACTGTCAGGCAGCAGTGCTAGCCACTGAGCCACCATGCCGCCCCAGGTAGACAGGATAGTGAAGACGACATTTGGTATTCTTTCGTTTATTGGTCAATGCACTGAGTATAGGAATTGGGAGGTCATGTAGAGACTGTGCAGGACATTGGACAGACCACTTTTGGAATACTGTGTGCAATTCTGATCTCCCTGATATAGGAAGGATGTTGTGAAACTTGAAAGGGTTTAGAAAAGAATTACAAAGATGTTTCCAGGGTTGGAGGACTTGAGCCAAAGGGAGAGGCTGAATAGGCTGGGACTATTTTCCCTGGAGCATCCAAGGCCAAGGGGTGACTTTATAGAAGTTTATAAAATCATGAAGGGCATGGATGGGGTGAATAGCGTAGGTGGGGGGAGTCCAAAACAGGGGGGGGCATAGGTTTAAAGTGAGAGAGGAAAAATTTTGAAGGAACCTAAGGGGCAATGTTTTCACGCAGATGGTATAGAATGAGCTGCCAGAGGAAGGGGTAGTGGTGGTACAATTGCAACATTTAACAGACATCTGGATAGGTATATGAATAGAAAGGATTGAAAGAGATATGGGCAAATCTGGCAAATGGGACTAGAATAATTTAGAATATCTGGTTGGCAGGGATGAGGTGGACTAAAGGATCTGTTTCCATGCTATACAGCTCTATAATCTATAACTGTTGAGAGTGAATTTCTTCGTCACTGAAATAACTCCACAGAGGCCAGTAACCTGTCAAGTCACCCTTTATTTACATGTGGAGAGTCCTTGACACTGATCCAATTTCCTTAGAGCCAGTTGTCAGAGTGAACAGAACTTCTGACACTCCTGTTTATGTCTGTCAGCCAGGGCTCCCTGATTGGACCAAAATAACAGCCCCAATCAGGAAATTCATATTCTATGAGGATCACTGGCTGAAGTTATTATAATCACTACAGCGAGGCCTGAATATAGCGGGTGTGGAGAAGATATTTCCACTAGGAGAAGAGACTAAGACCCGAGCATATAGCCTCAGTGAATGGACAACCCTTTAGAACGGAGAAGGAAATTTCTTCAGCAAAAAGGTTGTTCATCTATAGAATTCATTGCTGCCGAAGGCTATGGAGGCCAAGTCATTGAGTGTATTTAAAACAGAGATAGATAGATAGATTCTTAATTAGTAAGGGAATCAAGGGTCACAGGGAGAAGTAGGAGAATGGGGTTGAGAAACATATCAGCCATGATGAAATGGCAGAGCAGCTTGAAGGGCTGAATGGCCTAATTCTGCTCCTGTGCCTTATGGTGTTAATATGGAGAAGTGTGAGGTTATCCATTTTGGTCAGAGGAATAGAATGACAATTTATCTAAAACGGACAGTAACTTCAGAGTACTTTGTTACAAAGGATCTATGTGTTCTCATGCATGAATCGCAGAAAACTAGTATGTACATACAGCAAGTAATAAGGAAAGCAAATGGCATTTATTGCTAAAGGAATAGAGTATAATAGTAGGGAAGTATTGCTACAACTGTGCAAAGCATTAATGAGACCGCAGCTGGAATGTTGCTTCCAATTTTGGTCCCCTTAATTGAGGACAGATGTAGTTGTATTGGAGGCAGTTCAAAGAAGATTCACAAGATTGATTCCAGAAATTAAGAGTTTGTCTTATGAACAAAGATTAAGCAATTTAGGCCTATACTTTCTGGAGTTTAGAAGAATGAAAGGAGATCAATTTGAGGTATAGAAGATGCTAAAGGGGATTGACAAAGTAATTGTAGAAAGGATGTGGGGCAATCTAGAATGAAAGGTCATAATTTTAGTTAAGGAGTAGCAGATTGAAAACAGATGGGGAGAAATTACTTCTCTCAAAAGGATCATGAATCTGTGGAATTCACCACCCGAGTGCAGTGTATGCTGGGACATTGAGTAAATGTGAGGAGGAGATGGACAGATTTTTAAATGGGAATAGGTTGAAGGGTTATTGAGAGTAGGCAGGAAAGTGAAGTTGAAGATGAGGTGAGATTGGCTATGATTGTATCATATGATGGAGCAGGTTCAAGGGTTCAATTACCTCCTAGTTCTTATGTTATGATGATATAGATAATATTAAGTTGGAAAATGATAAAAATCAGTCAATAATTAAGATCCCTGAATGGAAAAGGACAGATTTTAGGGGTCTAAAAGTTGAACTGGAGCAAGTTGATTGGAAATGCATTTTGGTGGATAAAACAGTAATGAGAAACGGGATAATTTCAAAAGAGAAATGAATACGGTGCAAGCTAGGTACACAGGCATGTGAAATAAATATGCAATATCTAAAGCCAGAGTAACTGAATGACTAAGGACATTGATGAGAAGAAAAGGAGGCAAATGATACATACCAGAATAATAACAGCAATAGAAATCAGGAAAGCCTCTCCTGCATTGGAGATGCTCAAGGCTGGAATAAGAAATGCTAAGAGGAATATGAAGAAAGGATGGTAGGCTGTGCTAGAACAAATAGTAAAATGTTCTTCAAGCATATTAATAGTAAAAGATTGGTGAAGGATTGAGTGGGGTCCATGTGGAACAAGCAAGGTAGGCCACTCACTGAAGCAAAGGATATGGCAGGGATACGAAATGAATATTTTGCTTCTGTCTTTACCAAATTAGAAAATGCTGACAATGGCCTTACTGAAAATGTGGGTATTGAACATCTGAGCTCAATAGTGATAAAGAGGAGGTGCTAAAATGGCTAGCAGCACTCCGCTTACAGAAGCTGCTAGATATAGGGTGCATTCTGGACAGCTGAAAAGTAAGGCAGTAAATTGCGGAGTTGTTGACAGAAATTTTCCAAGCCATTCTAAACAGAGAATTAGTCCTGTGTGTCTGAAGGATTGCAAATGTGCTACCATTGTTTAAGAAAGGGGCAAAGCATAACCCAGGAAATAACAGAATTGTCAGCTTTTCATCAAGAGGAGAAAAACCGATGGAGACCATAATATGGGGATAAGGTAAATATAGTGTCATAGAATTATACAGCACAGAAACAGACCCTTCAATCCAGCTCGTTTACGCCAACCAGATATCCTAAATAGGTGTAGTCCCATTTGCCAGCATTTGGCCCATATCCCTCCAAACCCTCTTTTTCATGTGTCCATTCAGATGCCTTCTAACCGGCAGTTCACTCCATACACGCACCACCTTCCGTGTGATGAAGTGCCCCTAGGCACTTTCCCCTCTCACCTTGGATCTATGCCCTCTAGTTTTGGACACCTCTACCCTGGGGAAAAAGACCTTGGCTATGCCATGTCCTTCAATCAAGTTTGTGAGACACCATTTCCTATGCACAGAGCCATGCTGATTATCTCTAATCCAGTCCTTTTCTTTCCAAATGCAACTAGATCCTGTCTCTCAGAATCTCTTCCAACAACGTACCCACCACTGACGTCAGGCTTACCGGTCTGTAGTTCCCTGGCTTTTCCTTGCATTCTTTCTTAAATGATGACATAACATTAGCCATCCTCCAGTTGTCTGGCACTTCACCTCCGGCTATTGATGAGAAAATTATCTCTGCTAGGGGCCCCACAATTTCTTCCCTAGCTTCCCACATTGTCCTTGGATACACTTGATCAGTTCCCAGGAAATTTTCTACCTTTATGCATTTTAAGACCTTCAGCATCTCTTCTTCTGTAATGTGGACTCTTTTCAAGACATCACTATTTATTTCCCCAAGTTCCTTAGCTTTCATGTCTTTCTCCACAGTTAATACTGATGAGAAATATTCGTTTAGCGTCTCATCCATCACCTGTGGTTCCACACATAGATGGCCTCGTTGCTCTTTAAGGAACCCTATTCTCTGCCTAGTTACTCTTTTGCCTTTAACATACATATAGAATCTTTCTGGATTCTCCTTAACCTTAAGCGCCAAAACTATCTCATGTCCCTTTTTGCCCTCCTGATTTCCCTCTTAAGCGTACTCCTACACCTCCCTATACTCAAGAAATTCATTTGATCCTAGCTGTCTATACCTGACCTATGCCTCCTTTTTCTTGACCAGAGCCTCAATATCTCTGGTTAACCAGTGTTCCCCACTCCTGCCAACTGTACCCTTCACACTAACAGGAACATGCTGTCCCTGAACACTGGCTCACTTTTGAAAGCCTCCCACTTGCCGGATGTCCCTTTGCCTGCAAACAGCCTCTCCCAACCAACTTTTGAAAGTCCCTGTCTCATATCATCAAAATCGGCCTGCTCCAATCTAGAACTTCAAATTGTGGGCCAGGCCTATCTTTTCCAATACTATTTTAAAACTATATGAGATATCCCCACATATTTTCTCCTCAATTTCCTGCTGACTACTGGGGGGCCTACACTAAATCCCATCAAAGAGATCACTCCTCTCCTTAATTCTCACACAGCTTCACTGGACAATCCCCCAAAAATATCCTCTCTATGCCATGTTTTCCCTACTCAAAAACACTACTCCCCCTTGTCTCTTGCCTTCGCTTCTATCCTTCCTACAGTATCTCTACCCTGAAACATTGAACTGCCAGTCCAGTCCATTCCTCAGCCATGTCTCTGTAATAGCCAAGATATCTCAGTTCCATATACCTATCCATGCCTTGAATTCATCTGCCTTACCTGTCAAGCCTCTTGCATTGAAATAAATGCATTTTAAATCATCAGTCTTCCCTCATTCCCTGCTATGCTCTTGCCTGCTTTGTTTATTTAACTTACTCATTTTAACTTCTGTAGCAGACTCAACCTCCTCTCTTGTCTCGCTACTGTTAACCAGCAAATAGCCATGTAGTATAACAGCTAAACTATCTTCATACCTTGCTCATGCTCTCCATGCCTCCTGCTATCACAATATTGGAGCTGCCCGTCATGATGGCTTGTGTTGCAAGACACACTGCTTTCAGGCCAGAGCCACAAATCATCTGACAACTCCATGCAGGCACCAGATATGGGATTCCCGAACTGACGCTAGCCTGACGAGCAGGATTCTGTCCTTGGCCTACAAAATGGTAGAAGAGATATAGTAGTAATGTTTCATATTATAAAGCATATCATTGTTACTACAAAAAAGAACAAGGGTATGTCTAATCAAAAGACACTGATGTTATTTTTTCTTGTATGTGAGATTTCATTTTGTTGTACAGATTTTACTGCTATTTTCCCCATATCTCCCAAAAGGTGTTAACATTTTGCTGGTTCTTCAAGCAGTTGGTTCACATCTATGAGCTTCTTAAATAAAAAAGGGTTCTGTTCTATTATGAGAGGGATCACAGTGGAGCTGGATTCTCACGTTGCTAGTACATTTTATGGTTTAAAAAAAAACTTTGTGGTGATTGTTTCAACACAGCAGGGATGAGTAAAACTTAAGAATGGGAAATAGACTCTGAAAAAAAACTAAAAATATTTGGATCACATATAGAGAACCAGTGGTGCAGGGGATGCTGGTTGTTCAGTGGATATTTTACAGGTGGCAGGTTGTTGTGGGAATGGCACATGGTAAAATGAGGTGGAACACAGCTGATATCACCTGACATTTAGCTAATACCCAGAGCAGCCTATTATCATTGTTACAGTTACATCTTTCATAGGATTGGGAGCTTTTGTTCTTTTGGATACAGACATATAGAAAGCATAGACCAGTTTACTACCCAACCCCTTTACTTACAAATTGATCAGAGATAGCCAGTGATAGAGAAGGGCACATTAGATGTTCCATGGGTTTGTGAGAAGTTTTGCAGGTTATGTTCTTAGTCTTCACTTCAAATTACATACAGATCACAAATCCAAGTTGGCATAAATGCTTCCATCAATTACAGAGTATGTTTCAGGAAAGAAATTGACTATAGCACAGCATCCTACATTTCCGTGTGTCAAGACCTAGACAAGGAGGAGATGCAGTCTTCATTGAAGAGGTGCAAATTTTTCCACAAAAGCAAACTACAACTCTGCTAGAAACTCAATGAACTCAGATGCTCAAAAATATGATGAAGAATGTGCTCAGGACAGGCAGTGCTGTGTCAAGGATGGCCAACATATGTGCCACACTCCCATTCTTAGACAGTACTATGAGCAGATGAGGGATTGGTCATTCCAAGGGCCCTGAGACTGGAAGAAAAGATGTCAAGCTGTATAACTTGTGTTATTCATCAGGAGGGAACAAGAAAATAATGTTCCCTCTAAACTGCGCAGCTGCAGGGAGGAGTTGCGCACAACAATCATAGCAATGCATTGGCTTCCACTTCCGGAAGATGCCACCGTGCAGAGTCCTCAGAGGTCAGCACAGCAGAAAACAAAACTGGAAGGAACATTGCAAAAGGACTATTCATTTCCATGAAGACCATGGGAATATGTTGGGATGTACCTTTTCGAAAAGAAGTAAAATGTTCTTCATAGTGGCAGGCTACTATTGCAGATGGATAGAAGTCAAAAAGGTTGAGGGTTACACGTCCGAAGTAGTCAATCAATATATCACCAATCTTTCCAACAGATGGAGTCCCTTACCTTATCTTCTCAGACCATGGACCACAGTTAGTCTATGAATACTTTAAGGAGCTCACAACAACATCATATGGATTTGTCTGTATTAGCAGCTCATCAACATACAGGAATATCAAGCCAACAGTGAAAATAGTGTGTACACTGAAAGCGTTTAGAGGAACATGCAACTTATACTTCTGAGCCTACTTCTCAACTCTTTACATGCATAAGGTAACGATTTGGGAAAAAAGTGAGGGAATATGAGAACCGTTCCAATCAGATGTGGAACTGTGATATATCCACAAAGTATCATACCCAACAGACCTCGAATTAGGATAGTCTGGATTCAAGGCCAAACTTGTTACTGGCAAGTAGTAGAACAGACATCACATCCACGCCCTACACCATTCAAACTAAAAGATATAATACGAAGCAACAGACGTGCACTAGATTCTACACAGAAGCAACGGTCAAAGCCATTAGAGATGCTGTGTTCATCAACAGATCCAGATGAAGGTCTGATTGCTGAACTGGAGCCACCTGTTGATTCTACTTTTGCCACACAAAAACTGGAATTCCCAATCTCCTCCAAATAAACTGAGAAGATGCTGAGGTTGATTAGTGAAACTGCCACAGCAGTTGTCCCTGTATAGAAAAAAAGGAGGTAACAACTTCGTGGCATTATCACTGGTCTGTTAATGTACAGACCAAAGCAATGTTCTGGGGATAACAAGGTGTAGAGCTGGATGAACACAGCAGGCCAAGCAGCATCACAGGTGCAGGAAAGCTGACGTTTCGGGCCTAGACCCTTCTTCAGAAATCTGGGGACCGCGGTTCAAATCCCTCCACAGCAGATTGCGAAATTTGAATTCAAGAAAACAATCTGGAACTAAAAATCTAATGATGACTATGAACGTCAGGAAAAACCCATCTGGTTTACTATGAAACTGCCAACCTTACCTGGTCTGGCCTGCATGTGACTCCAGGCCCCGAGCAATGTGGTTGACTCTTAACTATCCTCTGGGCAATTAAGGATGAATAATAAATGCTGGCCCAGGCAGTGACACCCTCATTCCATTTAATACAAAATAAATGAAGTCAAAGATTTTTGATCGGGGGGGAAGGAGAAATATAATGAGCAGAATCAGAGTTTTGAGGGGAGATGTGGCATAAGGGGTTAAGTCGGACTATGTGGTCTGCTGATGAGACAGTATTCATCATCACAGGAAGTGATCGATGTCACATGATCTCTCTTGCAGCCTTGCGGCAAGATTAAGCCCCAGTTAGATGTTTTCTCAAAGTGAGTATTTTCCTTGCATTAACAAACCTTGTAAATATTCTTTCACAGCACAACAAGATCAAGAATATTATTGGTGTAGGCCTGAAATCTAAACGTTAATTTCTCTCTAAAGATGCTGCAAACCTATTGAGTATTTCTAGCATCTTCCAATCCCCCTTGAACACGGGGATGGTATCAGAGAATGGAGCATTGTAAATAGAATACCCTGGCTTAAAACTAAAAAAGGGTGGGGGGAGGATAAACACAGTAACTAGCTTCAAGATGGAGAAAGTTTTAAAGACTAAACTCTGGAACAAAATGATTTGGTATTTGTAAAAGCATAGGTTCATAAATGAAGGACAACACATATCTGTTAAAAGCAAATTATATTTGATAAGAGATAGTAGAAACTGCAGATGCTGGAAAATCTGAGATAACAAGGTGTAGAGCTGGATGAACACAGCAGGCCAAGCAGCATCATAGGAGTAGGAAGGCTGACGTTTCGGATGAAGGGTCTAGGCCCGAAACGTCAGCCTTCCTGCTCCTATGATGCTGCTTGGCCTGCTGTGTTCATCCAGCTCTACACCTTGTTATCTTATATTTGATAAACTTGATTGAGTTCTTTGATGAACTCTTGGATATATTTGATAAGGGTAGCATGGTTGATTGTGTGTACACAGGCTTTCATGAAGCATTTGACCAAGTGCCACATAATTGACGTGTCATTAAATTTAAAGTCTAAATGACCAGTGCAAGCACAAATACATGCCAAGGGACAGAAAGCAGAGAATGGTTGATCATACTGGAGGGCAGTATGCATCTAGGTTTATAAAAACATAGAAAACAGGCACAGAAGTAGGCTATTAAACCCTTCGAGCCTGCTCTGCTATTCAATAGGACTATGGGTTATCATCCAATCCAACTCAGTAGCTTGTTCTCGCATTTGTCCTACATCCTTTGATCTGTTCACCCCATCTCCTTTTTGAAAACATTCAACCACTTTCTGTGCAGGGAATTCCATAGGCTCACCACTTTCTGCGTGAAGAATTAGGACTACTGCTCCTTTTGAAATATGTTGCTGACATGCACTTGGATACACAGGGTTTCCACATTCTAAAAAAGAATTGGAAAATTGAAGACAGAACCACCAAAATTTCAAGCCTAATTTGTCTTTGGTACCTTTAATGTATGCTTTCTGAACTCAAAAGGCAATGGCCTAGTGGTATTATTGCTGGACTATTAATCCAGAGACACAGATAATGTTCTGGAGGACACAGGTTTTCAATTAAAAAAAGTCTGGAATTAAGAAACTAATGATGTCATTCAGGGAAGGAAATCTGCCATCCTCACCTGGAAACAACAACAGCAGCAGAAACAGCCCTGTCGACCCTGCAAAAGTCCTCCTGACTAACATCTGGGCGCTGGTGCCAAAATTGGGAGAGCTGTCTCACAGACTAATCAAGCAACAGCCTGACATAGTTATACTCACAGAATCATACCTTACAGACAACGTCCCAGATACCACCATCACCATCCCTGGATGTGTCCTTTCTCACTGGCAGGACGGACCCAGCGGAGGTGGCAGCACAGTGCTTCACAGTCGGGAGGCAGTTGCTCTAGGAGTCCTCAACATTGACTCTGGACCCCATGAAGTCTTGTGGCTTCAGGTTAAACATAGGTAAAGAAACCTCCTGCTGATTACCACATACTGTCCTCCCTCAGCTGATGAATCAGTACTCCTCCACTTGGAGGAAGCACTAAGGATGGCAAAGCACAAAATGTACTCTTGGTGGGGGTTGGGATTTCAATGTCCACCACCAACAATGGCTCAGCAGCAGCACCACTGATCGAGCTGGTCGGGTCCTAAATGACATAGTTGCTAGACAGGATTTGTGGCACCTGGTAAGGGAACCAACAAGAGGGAAAAACATACTTGACCTCATCCCTATCAATCTGCCATTTGCAGATGCATCTGCCCATGACAGTATCTGTAAGAGTGGCCACCACACAGTCCTTGTGGAGACAAAGTCCCGCCTTCACATTGAGAATAACCTCCATCGTGTTGTGTGGCACAGGCTTTGAACAGATTTAGCGATTTAGCAATTTAGCAATAGGGCATCCATGAGGTGCTGTGGGCTATCAACAGCAGCAGAATAGAGTAGGCGATGGCTTAGTAGTATTATCGCTGGACTATTAATCCAGAGACTCAGGTGATGTTCTGGGAACCTGGGTTCAAATCCCAA